TATTATTAAAAATATTATTTCCTATTAGCAAAATTATTTAACATATTCAAGTATTATGGTTATACATACATATATTTTACACATTTTTACTAGCCAAAAAATTTATAAATATATAATACATCTTTTGCCTAGTAAAAGAAAACAATTAATAACTATTCACGAAAAATGAATTGTACTCTGAGCATTAAAATATTTTTAAGTTTAAGTAAAGAACTGCAAGATTGTATAAACTAACTGCCACACAGACTTATCGATTTATTTGAGAGGCAGACTGAGCTATATAAGTCCGCTTTAAGTCCTCTGCCTGTCAGTTCTAAAATCTAACTGAAATCGAATGGAAAGAAAGATGATACTATGTTCTTTTTATGTTGTTTTATTTTTATTTTTATTTTTATTTTTACTTTTTTTTCAAATTTCGTAAGATTGCAATTATTATGGTTTAATTAGCAACCATTTAGGCTTACTCAAAAAGGTAAAGTAAATCCGAATCAAAATGATGTCAAGCGAATATCCAATCCAACACTCCAATGATTTTTCAAGAACTAGAAACGATGACAAATGCTTGGCAAATATTGCAAATTATTTGCCAAAAAAGTCAATTTAAATTAGAGCTATTAAAATCATGGATAATTTAACAAATCTAAGAAAAAGACAAAGAGCGACAGAGAAGGAGCTAGATAATGCATGGGAGAGCGAGACAGAGCAACAACAGAGTCGGTAGCAAGCTCAGTTTCTGAGTCAACGTTTATTAAAAACTTTTCTTGGGCAGAAAAGGCTTTTGACTCTTTGGGAACTTTAACCGAATGCGTATCGAGTTCAATGAATTTTTGTGTCAACAATTTGTCATTTTTTGACTTTATTAAAAGTGAACAAAAAAAAAAAAAAAAAAAAAAAAAAAAAAAAAATATGTAAAAATCAATGAACTCGAACCGAACATTTTCGCAAAGTGTAATGAAGTGGAAAGTTTGCTTGGCCCAATACGAAGTCAAATGCAAATATTTACTATGAGATCTCAAGTTCATGAATTTTTTAACTAAATGATATATTTTTAATAAGTCTATATTCATATATAACATAGAAATTAAATTCATTTCCGCATATCGAAAGTTGTTTCTATATTTATTTGTATACACATATATATATAAATTTTTTATTTACATACATCTCTATATATATTTTCGTTTTTTTTTTTCAGTTTAATGACCTTAGGTTACCAACGAATTATTCATAAACTCAGGCTAAAAACAGTTGCTTAGCTGATTCATTTAGTATATATTTAGAGTTATATATAAAAATATTTAAGATTTTTTAAATGATATTATTTACAAGTATTTTAAAAATATTTAGCATATGCAAGATAATTAACAAGGAATTGAGCATGAATATGGAATATTCCATATTTCTTTATTCAAATTCTAGACACGAGTTGTATACAGCTGTCAAAAGTTAACTAACTTTATTTTTTTATGCATAACTGAGACAGTCACACTAACAATATAAAAACCACAAAAATTTAGGATAGAAAATACGCAATACTTGCACTCTACATTTAATTTATTTAATGTAATGTGAGGCAAACATTTTGTATACATCCGCAACGGTTGATTGCTGTTCATACTATAAGTAAATATTGTATATTATATATACAATAATATTTTAATAATACAAACTATGCCAGAAGCTACATCCCATCAATGACTCTTCTTATCGATTCACATCCATCTTAATAAAAGCCCGAAATTGAAAATTTTCAATTTGTTGCTTAGTGTTAGAGCAAGCATAATAACTGAACACCGCCCCCCATAAACGGCAGCAGCAGCAGCAGGAGCCGAAGTTGCTGCAGCCGAGAGGGCAGATAAATTCAAATGACTCGACGTGGCAAGATGAAATCAAAAAGTGCCTCGAAATGAAAGATATTCGCAATGGGACAGAGTGGAGGCAGAGGAGGATGGGTTGGGCACGGCAATTCATTCCAGTTTCACGTTGCACGAATTTGGCGCCTGAAGTGTTAATAAAATGATACAGTTAAGTTGCAGCAACACCATCGACTAGCGGCCCGAGGAGAGCGGGGTAGAAGGGGAGCGGAGGGGCGTTACACATCGCACACTTGTGGCAACAACACATTTTGCAAATTCAATGTGAAATGAATTGCAACCAAATGTGTCTGCTGCGCTGCTGCGCTGCGGCGCTGCCGCGATGTTGATGTTGGGTAAGGTGATTGCATTTCTTTTCAATGATTGCCAATAGGCTCCAGGCAGCATCCAGCAACAACACGTATCACACATCTGTATATGCAAGCGTGTGTGTGCAAACGTTGAGAGAGTAACGTGAGTCGAGATAAAGGCACCAAGGCACAAAACAAAAACTTAGCAATGGAATGCATAATATGTTTGCCATATGCAAATAGTTGCAATACACTGAGAGAAACAGCTGTCAGTTAATTATGCAATAACAATAACCAGATATCATTTTGAAGACGATACAAAAACTCTGCCTCAAT